CAACCCTTGTAACAAAGAGGCTTATGTTTGACAAAGGGGGCAGAGAAAAGTGGGGGTGTTTTCTTACTATGCAACCAATCAGGTAGACAAGAACCCAGAAAAGATGCACAGATGGAACTTCTGAGGAAAGAAAACATCTCTGGAGACTACAGGAGAAAGAAAGGACAGAGAGAAGGTTCAGGAGATTCAGTCATTAAAGAAAGAAAGGGCCCATTATAGCCGGGCACAGCATTAGGCACAAGAATCCAGTGATGAGCAACAAGACCCCCTTACCTTGTCATGCTTGAGGGGGTAAGCATTAGCTGATAAATCATCTGAAAATATAACTACAAGTATAACAGGTAGACAGAGGGAGGAGGGTGGGGAGGGAGGATCCTTGTCCACCAGAAAGCCCCAGGTGAGCTCTCTACTGGGACTCTCTCTGGAGGAAGGAAGCAGGATAACCTTCCTTCACCTGCCCCACAGTGAGGGCCTGCAGAACAGTCCTGCTTCCTCTGCCACCCTCCTCAGGGTCTGTACACACACTGCTCCTTGCCCCCTACTCCCTGGCAAAATGAACTACTCAGTCGTGTGTAGTCCTCCAGCATCTTTCCCTCATGCGGTTCCAGTATGGTCTACATGTTGACCTGAAGCATGTCCACCTGTGTGTCTGTCCCCACTATATTATTCATTTCTTACAGTTCAAGGAACATACCTTAATCTACTCTGTGTCTAATGTGTATTGAATGAATAAGAGAGTGAATAAATATCTTTTACCTTTAGTCTGTCAACACAGGGAAACAGAGACCTAGAATATCATCTTAATGGCACTATCAAAATGAATCAAAGTCAGCACGTTTAAACATTAATCTGAAACCAAAGAGATACGTTTTAATAGGAATAAATTTAAAAACCTCAACTTTGGGTTACTGAAATCAATAATATGAACGCAGGACTCATGAGGGGGAAAAAACCATTCATTTGGCAAACATTTGCTGAATGCTATCTATGTTCCAGTCACTGTTCCAGGTGCTGGATATATAGCACAGACAATGTCTCCAATTCACAGGACTTAAATTTGACTAGAAAAAATAGATCTAAGAGTTTTAACTAAGCACAAGTTTAATGTGAGTCATCAAGATAATACAGCAACAGCAGGAAAACAAATCTTAACCTGATTTTGCCGGCACCAGGAGAGAGCCCACATGTTGCCCTATACCAAGAACTTGGCGCTAACCACAGGTCTCTTGTATCAGCAGGGACTTTAACAAACCAAACAGCATATCTGGAATAATATGGTCAGGTCCCCACAAGTCTGAAAAACAACTGAAGGATTTGCATGTGTTTGGACTGGAGAACCAATGGTCAGAGGAGATGCAACAGCCATCTTCAAATATTGAGAGTTGTCTGCACAAGACTTGACTGCAAGGGCATGGAGTTCACCAGGTAGAAATTTCAAAGCAATAAAGAGAGTGTCTCACAACAGGATTTGCTCCACTAAGGTATGGGAGGCCTCCTTCCCTAGGGAAGACACATTCCATCCTCAGGGATGCTCCAGAAAAAAAAACTATGCTGAGACCAGACTAGAATATCAAGAGATCACAGTAGACTTTGAGTTCCATCAACTGTAAAAGCAAGAATTCTATAGTTAATCTCCCATTAATCAGAAAGGCAGTATTTAGGAGTGTGGGCTTTGGATTCAGGCAGAGCTGGATCCCAGTACTAGACTGGAAAAAGTCACTCCCACACTCTAGGCCTCATTCCCTTACTAGTAAGAGAAAGATGGTTGCAGTTCCTACCTCATCCTGGCCATGAGGATTAAGTGAGATGATTTACGTTAAGTGCTGCTTTGTACAGTACCTGGCCCTTGGTAAGTCAATAAACATTAGCTGATGGTAATATTGAGTGCTCTTCATTTTATTTTACATATTTCAATTTATTTAGGTAAATCATTTTGCTGTGAGTCCCTAATTTCATAATCCTCCATCTTTCATTTACCAAAGTAATTATTGTAGCAATTTAAAACTATAAAGTAGAAGGACTTTAGAGAAATTTGAAGTGTTTTATTCCCTAAATAAATTAGGAAAATACCTAACAGTACAAGAAGGGATATTTAAGGGTGTAACTTAAGGGACTTGTGATCAAAGTAATATTGGGATGCTACTCGTGTACGGGATGGCTGAGCAGGCTGGGGTATGGCAACCCCAGGGACTCTTCTTCTCCTTGAAAGACCCCCATCAGATAACAGAAGTAAGAATCAATCCAGCAAACTGATTTTATGAGGACTAAGTCATGTCAGACCAATTTAATTTCCTCCTGTAACAAAGAAATAGGCTGCTGTGACACAGGGAAACAATGAATAGCAGATACTGTGATTTCAGCTAAGTCTTCAATTCCAGGCTATGAAATAGCCAAATCTAAGAAGTTAATTGAATTCTGCTGGCTAGTGGAGAGGATTTTTAAAAACAGGCACCAAAGGCTCAGGATCTACTTTCCTTTGTAGGACTGGCAGAAAAAAATGCCCCTTTCCTGCAGTAAAATGCAGAATTCATCCAACAAATATTTATCAAGCACTGTCATGTGACATGCCCTCAGTCTGGATTGGATGAAGAAACTGAAGTAAGATTGACAAGCAGACAGACTTAAATGGGACTTTTCAGTAGACGTGAGTATGGTTCTGGTGGTTGGGGAGTGCTACAGAAGAAATGGAATCTTTGAACTGGGCTGAGTATTTCAAGGAAATAGGTACAGTTTTAAAGAACAGCTGTTGGGATGGGGCCTGAGAGGCTCAGGTGGTTAAGCGTCTGTCTCTTGATTTCAGGTCAGCTCATGATCTCAGAGTCCTGAGATGGAGCCCGATTTCAGGCTGTGTGCTGGGCATGGAGCCTGCTTAAAATGCTCTCTCTCCCTCTGCCCCTCCCTACCCCACTCCAACCCTGCTCATGCTCTCTCTCTCTCTTAAAAATCAAAACAAAAAAACAAAACAAAACAACAACAACAAAAAAAAAACAGCTGTGGGATGAGAAAGGCACTTTGAAGATCTAGGTTAAATGGATTCAAATGGGCAAACTTCAGTAGCAAGGACGTCTTCAAGACCACCTGCCTGGCAAGGCTGCCCTATATTTAGCAAGGAACCACAAATGAGCATGCTTGTCCCAGGCTGCACCTGTTGCAGGGACCCAATCTGATGAGGCACAATGAGTCAAGATGGCAGACTAAAAAGCAATGAGTACCGGAGATGAATATTTAGCTATCCCATAATAAGCATCTCATACCCATACACACCAGACACTCCCAGTCACCAAGGCAACCTTGCCTTGAAGCTGAACTTTGTTTTTTTTTTCACACTAGATCTTTTTAACCATTTTTCCTTGGAGTGCAGCTCTGGCCTTTGACTCTGCTGAGAAACACCACACCTTCTTGGGAAATGCTGTTAAATCTAACATTTACCAGGTCCCCTTTGAAGGCTTATGTCTTATCCTTGTTTCTGACACTGAGCTGAGTCAACACATCGTTTGGAAACTTGCTGAAAGCACCAGCAACACAAAGTAACCATTATGATTGCCTGCCGCTGTGTCAGAAAAGTTAGAGACACAGTGTTATGTCTTCCACTGTTTTCACTGACAGTCTTGCTTTTTAAAAAAGGGAATCACCAAGTTCATGTGGACAAGGAACCAGCTTTGATCCTTAAAGATGGAGAGACTGATTCTCAAGATTAAAGTGGCAGTTCTTATGTAGGAAGCATGGATATAAGATTATTGAACTTTTCACATTTCTTTCCTCCTCCTTATAATTTACAGTATGCTTCAAATTAACCTCGTTTTCCTCTTTTAGAAAATATTTTATTTATTTATTTGAGAGAGAGAAAGCTTGAGCAGGGGAGGGGCAGAGGGAGAAGCAGGCTCTCCGCTGAGCAGGGAGCCCAACATGCTGGATCCCAGGACCCTAAGATCATGACCTGAAACCTAAGGCAGACACTTAACTGAGCCACCCAGACGCCCTTTAACATCATTTTCTAGCTCAGGTTTCATTATTCAAAAATTTTGAATTCAGGGCAGCCCCAATGGCGCAGCGGTTTAGCTCCGCCTGCAGCCCGGAGTGTGATCCTGGAGACCCTGGATCGAGTCCCACGTCAGGCTCCCTGCATGGAGCCTGCTTCTCCCTCTGCCTGTGTCTCTGCCTCCTTCTCTCTGTGTCTCTCATGAATAAATAAATAAAATCTTAAATATATTTTAAAAAATTTTTTGAATTCATTATTCAAAAATTCAAAACAACATAAAGGGATCCAGAAACAGTTAAAATATTTTTATGCAAATAATGATCTGACTTTTGACAACGTGTTTGTCCTTTTCCACCAACATGTTTAGGACTAAAGGTAAGTCTCTCTACGGTTATTAGCTATTAGCATCTGCTTAAAAAAAAAAAATCCCTCTGATTTGTGACTGGACCAGAAAGTTCTTTGCATATCCTTCTATTAGATCTCTGCTAGAGAGGGACTGTTCGGGCATGTAGTCCACAGCCGTAATCCTGCCTCCCAGGGAGCACGGCGGCACCACGGGGTGGGCAGGCAGGTCCCTGCCGTGGCCCGAGGGATGGAGAAGCGGGCTCAAGGGCCGGGCGGGCGAGCGCGGGGCCCAGCTCCGGTTTTCGGGCGTTCGCCGCCCGAGGGAACTCCCTCCCTGCGGGGACAGAAGGCGCCAGCCGAGCGATCGGGGTCAGGCGCCCGCCTGTGAATCCGGGCAGAGTGGGGCCAGCAGCCGGTGCTCGGAGACGTGGCCGGACCGAGGGGCGGGGGGCCCGGGGGGCGGGGGGCCCGGGGGCGGGGGCGTGCCGGGTGGGCTGACCCCCGCGGGGCTGCGGGGCTGCGGGGCTGCGGGGCTGCGGGGCTGCCGCGGCCCCGGGGATGGGCTCCGCCGCCGCAGGGGTGTCCCGCTGCCCCGCGCCCTGGGCCTGCGTCGGTCGGTCTGTCCTCCTGCCCCCGCGCCGCAGCGCCGGCCGCCCGGCCCCTCCCGCTCACTCACCCGCCTGCAGGCCGCCCGCCTCGGGGCCGCTGTCCGCGGCAGCGGCGCTGGGCGGCGCGTCCGAGTCGGTGTAGGTGAGCCAGGTGGACTCGGTCTCCCGGGTCCAGCTCTCGTAGTAGCGGGGCTCGATGGCATCCGCCCGGCTCCCGCCACAGCCCATCCTCCCGCGCTGCGGGCGCGCCCGGCGCCCCGGCGGCTCGCGGCTCCGGCGGCGGCTCAGCCCCCGCGGCGCAGCCCAGGCCGGCGAGGCGGCGGCGACATCGCGTCCCCGCAGCCCGCAGCCCGCAGCCCGCAGCCCGCAGCCCGCCCGGCTCCCGCTCCCGGCCCCCGGCTCCAGCCGCGCCCGCCGCCCCCCGCCCTCCTCTTCGCCTGCGAGGCCCTCCCTCCCGCGCTCGCGTCCCCTCACCCTCACCCTCACCCTCAGCCTCGGCTCCCGCTCCCGCTCCCCCTCCCCCTCCGGGGCGGCGGCCAGGGAAGGAGAGGGAGGCGGGGGTCCCTAGAGGGCTTCGGCCACGCGGGGCGGGATTACCGCCTCCAGGTCCGGCGCACCCAGCCGGCCGCACCCCCGCCGGGCCGTCCATTCACCTGTTCACCTATTCATCCGTGCACCGTTCTTTCCCTTCCTTCCTTCCTTCCTTCCTTCCTTCCTTCCTTCCTTCCTTCCTACCTCCCTTTTCTCCTTCCTTCCTCCCATTCCTCTATTCTGGAGAGAACTGGAGCCCTTGGGAAAGGATCCCAAGCATTCTCACCACTTGTTTCAAAGCGGTAGAGCTGAGGACAAGCCCCCCAAATGGGCAGAGAGTAATGCCACAAGAATTTAAAAAACAGAGCCCTTGCCTGGTCTTAACTGGTTTGGAGAGTAGGAGGGGGGGCCTATGATCTCTGAGAGAGTTGGACTAGACTCTAACACCTTTCCAGTTTTGTGACTTTGAACTTTGTTTTCAAGAGAGCAAAACAAGGACCAGGAACTGTTGAGCATCCAGCACACCCTCTCTGAAAGGGGCTGGGAGGCATGGCTGGCTTCCCTCCAGTCCCACTCGCAGCCTAGACATCCCTGTGTCCACTGCCCAGCTGTCAGCCTTCCATTCATTCAAGTTGCTAAGTGTGCCAAGTTGCACACTTAGCAACTTGTTGCACACTAGAGCTCGGACTTGGGTAGGCCAGTGAATTTACCTGTCCCAAAGAAGCCGGAACACCTGGTAAAAGAAGGAAACTACCCTTAGCGAGGGCTAGGAAAAGGTAAGAATTGGAAGAATAAATCCTCAATGACCCAGCCCTGCCAGAATAGAACATGATGCTGAATGAGTATTGTTTTCATTCATTCAATATATATTTACTAAATACATATTATGGAAAAACACTTCTATATATACAATACCCATGTAACATATTGTGTATATTACTCATTGTATATAGACTGTAGTGTGTACTGTTTAATACATCTTATAAAGTATATAGAATAAAGGGGTAGTATTCACTATGTCGTACATAACATATAGAATATAGACTACATTGCCTATACTATGTAGCATTCAGTAGAAAGACCAATTCTAGGGCATTACCTTCAAATAATCAATGTTCATCAAATATTTTCTTTTTTAAAAAGATTTTATTTATTTATTTATTTGAGAGAAAGAGAGAGAGAGAGTGAGCACAAGTAGGGGGAGAGGCAGGCAGAGGGAAAGGGAAAAGCAGGCTCCCCACTGAGCAGGCAGCCCTATGCAGGACTTGATCCCAGGAACCTGGAACCATGACCTGAGCTAAGGGCAGATGCTTAACCAACTGAGCAACCCAGGTGCCTCTCATATATATTTTTTTTAATGAATAAATGACAAGAGGCAATATGGGGATGTGGTTAAGAGCAGAGACCTAGGGCCCAACTCTGAGTTTGGAGCTTGGCTCTGCCACTTACCAACTGGACAACGTTGGGCATGTTTCCTAACCTCTCTGTGCCTCAGCTTCTTCTCTGTGAATGGGGATAATAAATTGTCTTAATATGTGTAAAGTGCTTGGAAGAGTGCCTGGCACCAAAAAGCACTCAATTACTCAGTCACTGTTAGCTATCATGCACATTTGGGGCAAGAAGCAAAAATGGCATCCCTGAAGGAGGAAATCACTGAAATGATGTATTTTCACATGAGATAATGTCTGTGAAATTCTTACCACACAGAAGTTAGGAAAATGATATTTTTCTTTTCCTTCCTTCCTTTTTCCATTATGTTACTAGCAACCTTCCTGCAAATTTCTTACCACCATTCCTGCATAATCATCGACAGAGCAACATCCTATTTTTTCATGGAATCTCTTCTTTTACTATATAACACCACAAATTCAGAGAAATTTTGAACCTAGAAAAAGTTAGAGATCATCTGATCTAGTCCTTTGATTTTATCAACCAGGAAATCATAGCCCAGAGAGGTTTGTGGTATCACCCAAAATCAAAAGTAAAGTGTGATCTCTGGCAGAACTGAATTTTCAGTCAGTACACTTGGGATCTCTGATTGCTGGCTCTTTGCTCTTTTTTTTTTTCCTTTGCTCTTTTAATTATGACTCTTTAGTTGGAACTAAATTTTCTCCCAAAACTTTAGGAACAAATGTAATAAACGTAAATACATAAGGCATAATAAATTATCTTAAACCATCTGTTCAGAATCTATAACTCAACTGGCATGAAATGGTCACTTTTTTCCATGAAGTTTAAAAGCAACAGCAGAGACGCCTGGGTGGTTCAGTCAGTTAAATGCCCAACTCTTGACCTCAGCTCAGGTCTTAATCTCAGAGTTGTGAGTTCAAGCCCTGCATTGGGCTTCACGCTGGGCATGGAGCCTACATACATACATGTATATATAAAATAAAAGCAACAACAAAAATAATTATTTTAAAGGAGGTAGGGTTGCAACAAGGAATTGAAAGCCTTAGCAAAACCCATCCAGAGCAATGAAGTAGATTATGCCTTTAAAAGCTATTGCTGAGAGACACCTCAGTGGCTCAGTGTTTGAGCGTCTGCCTTTGGCTAAGAGCAGGATCCCGGGGTCCTGGGATCAAGTCCTGCATCAAGTTCCCTGCAGTGAGCCTGCTTCTCCCTCTGCCTATGTCTCTGCCTGTCTCTCTGTGTCTCTCATGAATAAATAAAATCTTTAAAAAATTTAAAAAAAACTATTGTTGAGTGGTATTTGTAACTCAATGGAATTCTCAGAATAAAGTATCTGTGGCTTTAAGAGCCCTGTGGTGGGTATCACCGCTAGCTTGTTTCTATGGAAACTGGAGCAGAGGGCTTTAGGGACCAAAGCCCTTCCACCTACAGATCTTATTTATGTGGCCTAGCATCACAGGGCTCTGCCCAACTGCCAGGAGCTCAAGAAGGGAGACCTGCATGGAAACAGTCACAGAACAGAAGGACCCTCAACCTGCCCTCAGGATCAGTCATCTGAAAAAAGAGTACAGACAGATTCACTGCCTTATACGTTTCAATTTTTCCAAGTGAAAAAGTAACACAAATAGCAGCAGCAATAGCAGCAACTATAGCAGCAATAATTCTGGCCAACAGGATGCAGACCCCAGATAAATCTCTTTAGTCCTGAATACCAAATTTCAGTGAGTATCCCATGATTCCAAATTAGTGAGCAAACCAGAAGTGTAGCTCTATGCCCTTTGTCTGGAGGATTCTCAGGTAGTACCCATTGAGCATCCCTCCTGTTCTCCAATCTTGACTGGCTGACACATCCTCATTGATCTACAGATTGTAATTTTATTGTAAAGGAAAATAGCTCCAAGTTAACACCCTGTAGCACAAAATCTAATTGCATTCCTCACATCTGGGTGAAAAAAAAAAGCTGACAAGTGTCACACGGGTCCAGTTCCTCATCTCTCACCTTTAAAGAATGACTCCATCCTTGGGGAGTTGTGTGGCACTGGAGTTCAAGTGATACAGGGTAAACATGACTACCAGAGAGAAAACCAAAAAGAGAAACTGAAATATTGTAACAGCAAGAAGATTAATGAGTTTTGGACTTGGTTTAAGAGGTTAGAAAGGGTGAAAGTGGAAAAAAAATATTTGCCTGTTACCCCAAAACACAGATGGAGGAGATTAGATTAAATTTAAATGTGAAACTAAACACTGTAAATTATCCCCATGAATCTTTAAACCAAGTAATTCTCAGGAGAAGAGGGGCCAGCTCCTCTGGGTTAATTCTAAAGAGATTCAGCAAATTCTTCAGAATTTATCTCTGTGCCTGAATGAATATCCTATGGTGCTTTGTTATACTCCACAGGAAAACCCAGGACAACGCAATTGCCGGTGTTTCCAAGTTTCTGATTTCATTATATTTCCTTTCTGTGAAGTAGTAGCTAATTGATAAGATATAACAAATAAGAACACCTGGGTGGCTCAATGGTTGAGTGCCTTTGACTCAGGTTGTGATCCCGGGTCCTGGGATCCAGTCCCACATCCGGCTCCCTGCAGGGAGCCTGCTTCTCCCTCTGCCTATGTCTCTCTTCTATCTGTGTGCCTCTCATGAATAAATAAATAAAATCTTTAAAAAAAATGCAGTGAATAATCAATTTGTTCTCTCACTGGGGAATATGAGCCACATTCTTCTAGAAACAGCCTGGAGAGAAATATCTGCTGCTGGTGAAGTGGATGTGTGATGTTTTTAAAATGACAGAACTTCAAATTGTAGACTGTAATAGTTAAAAGAAAAAGGGATGGGAAGAAATCCAGAGAGGCCCTGTCCCACGGGATTAATTCCAAAGAGAATTCAGAAAGCCCGGAGGCTTTGAATAAGCGTGCACATAGCACAACATATTCCTAGGGCCCTTTAGCACCGTCTTTCTCTATGTCCCCTAGTATCACACTGGGTGAATTCACAGTATTGCCTCTGTACTTCCTCTTCACCTGAAACAAGGTAAGGTTGAATCATTTGCCAAACGTTACTCTAAATGTCGGGAGGCGGAAGACTAGAGCCTACATCTCATCTGTACCCAAGGAGGCTTCCTTCTCTTTAGAGCAAATGAAGGGCAGGTTGTAACTTCTTCCCAAGCTTGGAGAAAGCATTTTCTATGGCTTTGCATGGTGCTGTCTACAGTGTTTATTAAGAACAATGATCCCAGTTCTGTGCATCAGTTCTCCCTGACTGAAGCTTTACCTTGAACCCAAGAGGATTTTGACAGCATGTAAATCTGAAAAGTAGTTTGAGAATCAGCAGGCGGGGCA